GTTTTAGGTCCTGCTCTATTTTTGTCTCAAAAGAAGTATTTGTCACAACACTTTAGAATCTCTCCTTGTAGCTTTTTCTTTGCAAAGATGACCCTCTAAACAGTTGAGGGATATTGAATTTGCAAGTCTAGTTCTGGTTTATTGAATCTGGTGTTGAATAGGTGTCTGAGACTTGCTAATTATCAAACGCAAAGCTAAGTTTTTTTTTTTTTTTTTTTTTTTTTTTAAGGTCAGGGTACAAAGGACAGTTCCATCTAAACAAACATAAGAAGTGAAATTATGAGTTCAGAGGGAGGAAGCTGGGAGGTGGTGAATACTCTAATTTCTATTTCAGAAAGTCCCTGGTGTTTGAAGAGCCCTGGGGACTGATCTCTCCTTAACTACAGATAAAGTGAAGCCTGGGCAGCGGTGAGAGAGCGAGACTTTCTGTAGCTACTGTGTTTACCAGCCCTGTTCTGAACACTGGCTTAGATAAGAAAGTGAAGGTCACTTAAATCCACATATCTGATGTTAGCATTCTCTGACAAGTTCAAAAGCAGATCCTACATTAGACCAGTCCTTCAACTGCTGCCTATTTTGTGACTGAACTAGGATTACTTATGAGAGAAGCTTGCAGGATTAAAGCACAAACTGTTGGATGACTCTGTGCAAATATGGGTGTTTCCATTGCCAAGTGCTTGGGTCAAAGCTGGGTACTTTGATCCGTCTCTTCTCTGGGAAACAGGCACAGGTCAGTGCCACAGAATTCATGGTATTCTATAGTTGCATTATTACATACAGAAGAATCAGCACAGAGTCAGCATCTAGTTACTCATCCTGAAGCTTGTAGTTCCCCTTCTTGCATGTGCTGCTTGGCAACCCCAAGGGGAGATAAGTGGCTGTTTTTCTTTAGTGGCAGAAGTTTTTTCACCTGGGAGGTTTTATTCTGTCCTCAGTGTGATCTTCTGAGAAAGTCTAACTTCAGTAAGTAATTCTGTTTATTTGCTGGAAGTTCTTGCTTTTTCTTCCCCTACCTTTTCTTTCCCCTTCGCTTAAAACTGAGGCTGCCTCCATATTATGAAAGCCTACATTTGCAAACAGTTGTTTTTTCCCTTCTCACTCCTATAGCTAAGGTGATTAGCTTTGAGCAATTCATAGCTGTATTTCCCTCTCTCGATAGTTTGAACTTTCCATCTGACTGGCATCACGGTATTACAATGCACCAGAAAAGGGAGAGAGTGATTCTTTGGGAAAGGTGCTTAGAGAATATGTCTAATTATTTAGCTCTTAGTATGAAATGGCTGTCCAAAACTCTTCCAGCTTTGCATCTGAAAAGCTATCAGCTTTGCTGTCATCTATAGACTGAACCACTGTGTTATCCTGCTCTTGAGACAGGAAATACTAGTCTTACTTTTGCAGTAGCAATAGGCACTGGACGAGTGGTTTCAGCAGCTGAAACTTTTATTCATTTATGTATACAGGATCCTTGTTTGCTTGGCAGTGTGCTCTCCATGGGAAGGAGAGGCTTTTTCCATCGCGAAGCTGTATTATGGTTGGCTGTAACCAAATATTTGAGGGGATGAATCACTGATTCCTGGACTGTGTCTTGCAGAGAAAATGAGGCTAGTGCCATTTTCAGCTGCCTCCGTCGTTGCCGCGCGCTGGCTGGTGATGGAGACGTGGCTGCCGCCAGGCAAGGCGGGTATGGATGCTGCTGGACACCTCTAAATGCACCCGGATAGTGCCCGTGTCCACGGCCGGAGCGTTTTCCCCTTAGGCTTCCAGCAGTGGCAGCTCGGTCAGCTTGCAGCTCCTTTATGTAGCTGCACGTTTCTGTCTCCCACGAGACCGCTGCGGTCTGGCAAGTGGCTTCCTCTGCTACTATGCATCTATGCATCTGTGCATCTGTGCATCTATGTCGGGGTTTATGTTCTCAGTGAAGGCAAGTTTCTGCTCGGAGCCACCAGGAGGGCCTCAGCAGCTGCTGCTCTCCCAGTTAACCGAGTTCTCAGCTCAGAAGACATGAGGTTTATGTGGTTTCTGCAGGGCAGAATGTCCTCGTACCCCCTCTCCCCACTGGTAGATGCTTGGCCAGGGGGTTCCTGCAGCAGGTACTTTCTGTTGCAAAAGTGAAAGCATCAGACTGCTGCTGTCCCCCAGTCTAGCACTAGCTGTTTAGAGTAAGATTTGAAAGGACAGATATTAGGGTTTGTTTTGTGGGTGTTTTTTTAGTAAGAACTTATACTCAGATCATGTGTTTGGCAACTTCTTAGTCTAGCATCCCAACATAGCATTAGATGGTCAAAATCCAGAGTAAATGAATGACTTGGCCTGTAGAAAAGCACATACTGGACTTTACCTTTTTTTTTAATACTTAAAAACTTGTGAACCATCTTCTTTTAAAATACCGTTAAAATTAAAGCATCAGACCTTTTTTAAGTGTGGCTGCTTTTGTAACTTGGTTTTATAGTCTCGTTACCACTTTCTGATTTTGCCTAAGGGTGTTCTTTGGGCAAATGTGAAAACTATCTCTGGCTGCTATTTCCCCTTGCAGTTGTTTCACAGTAACATCTTTTGTTTCTGCTTTGACTTGTGCAAATTATCACAGAAAATGGTGTTCCTGGGAAGTCTGCATAGTCCTGACAAGGAGTGATGGGTTTGGGGTCTTCCAGCGCCCTTCCAGAGAAGCTTGTTCTTATTCCTGCTTTGATGTTGGCTCTTAATTCTTAGCATGGTTTTGTTAATATTGCATGGTAATATCACAACAGTCTCTAAAAACAGTATCATCAGGATATTTGGTATCATTTGTGGCTTTTACCTTTCATGTTTTAAGAAAACTAGTGTGCTTTGGTTAACATTTGTGACATTATAAAGAAACTCAACCAAATTTTAAAAGCAATTGCAGAGACTTGTAACTATGTGGATGCTGAAAGAAGATAAAGGTTTAAGAAAGATTAATTCTCTGCATTAGCTATTTGTTTAGCAGTCATTGACTTCTTAGAGTGTCTGCTGTCAGGTAATCTGGTAAGCCTACCTAGACCTAACCCACTGTTGTTCTGATATTCTGCATTTGTTTTTCCTTCTCTTGTCCCCTTCTTTTAGACAATTTAAGTCTTTTCTAGAGGTACTCATTTCTCGTTTGAAAATGTAGTTTGTGTTGTGGAAGACATACTTTGGCTAAAAGGGTTGCCCTATTAGGTGACTGTCTGTCATTACTTAAACACAGTTGAGTTTGGTGTGGAAAGAAATATTCAGTCCTTCCTTCCTCACTGAGGGCAGAGAGAGGCTGTGTTTACCTGGTTAAATTTTGTATTTCCACCTTCAAACCTGTAGTTGGCCCTGAGCTAAAATAGGATGAACAAAACTTGGTCCTCTCTCTTTTCAGCAGAGAGTGATGGAGCTAGGGCTCATACTGGCAACCTAATGCTAAGGCCTTATTCTGTTATAATGTTGTAAAACTGTGTATACTGTAGCACCTAAAATACCATCTAGTGCATTAGTAGATGGGAAAGAAGAGTTAAAATTCCTCTTTTTTTTCGTTTCTTTCTAGCGTGCAGGGCATATCTACAGCAAGCTCTTTCTGTAGCTCATATTCCCAAGTGTTTAATCTCTCAGCTTTAGTTCAAGGTTTGAAAATGAACTCTTCTGGCTACTGCTGACCGTGATGCACAAATGACCGTGAGCTGGTGCAGCTGTTTTACTGAATAAAGGGACTTTATCCTGTTGTTTTTCTTCTTTTTGTCTAATCCACTTGCATACTGTACTTTTATGTTCTGCTGTCACTCCTTGGGGGTGAGCTGGAACTGTTATTACTGTTTCCTTCTTTCTTCCTGTAAGTAGTAATTTGAGGGGAGGAATTGGTCACTGCTCTGCACTTTCTTTAGTGTCTGAAATAGCAAGGTTGTAAATTTGGTTTGGGTATTGCGGAGCTGTGTGTAATCCTAAAACTAGTAGGTGGCAAGTTGCTTTTGGAAGCATTGGCAGAGCTTTCACCAAGTAAAGGCTGAAGACCGAGCGCGACGCAGTGTTGTTGCAGGTGTCCAAGAGGCAGTTTCCAAATGAACTATTTTTTTTCTTCCGTCTTCAGGGACTCTACAGTGCTGCTGCTGGAAGTGAAAGCAGAGTGGAGCAGAATGATTCAGCACCCAAGATAAAGGCTCATCTGGTGCTGCTGTTCCGGCTCCCTACGCCCTAAGGAAGTGCAGCCCGGTGACACTGCGGTGCTTTCTGAGCAAGTCCAGCTCTTCCTGAGCCAACTTACGGGTGAGTTGGGCGAAGTCGCTTGTTTTTATAAGGCTTTAAGTCATGAACCACAAAGCCTTTGTTTCTGTAATTGGTTTTAATCTCGACTTAGCTCTGTTTTGTTTCCCTAAACATTTTTATAATAAGTTACAGAACAGGTTAACTGACTTCAGATTCTTAATGTTTCACACAATAATTCACTTTTTATCAACATAATACTAAAATGTAAATAGCTGAGTGATCTGGATTAGTATACATCTTTTTTCTCAAGAAGACATATTTTATATTTAAACTGGGAGTATGCGTCGTGGGTTTTTTTTTTTTTTTTTTTTTTGTGTGGGTTTCTTTGGTATTTTTTAAGGTCACTTGGGCCGGGCTGGTTCTAATCCTACGTAACTTCCTTTAAGACCTGTAGAATTTGCATGACACCCTGACATTTACATTTTACTGACTAGGAAGGTAACTAATACAGAAATATCTATATTGGTTCAGACAGAAGGACTACTGAGCCTGGAGTCCCACACCTTCTTGTGGTCCAACTGCTTAGAGCAGAAGCCCAGCATATTGTGATACTAAAAAAACCCTTTTAGCAATCTGCGGTTTAGAGTTTCATGAACTGAAAATCAAGACCTTAATTTTTTTTTTTTGCATTTAATATCCCCTAAGGGATTTTTTTGCTGGTTTAACCTTCAGTTAATTTTTTAATCCTAACCTCTTCATTGTACTAAAGAAGAGAATACACTTTGAAGCCACAGAAGAGCCTAAGGGCTTGTTTGAGGTGCTTTCCCAGTGACAGCTCTACACTCAGAAACTTGATGTTGTGCTTGCTCATAGGACCAGTCTGTTGCTTCCCAACTAATGTTGTTCTAGTCTTGTCCGAATGCAGCCAACTATTGCAGCCAGTTGCCTCAGGAGGGGATCGTGATGGGATGCTCCTCAATTTTTATCTTCAATGTTAATTTTAGATTCTCAGAAGAACAATGCATGTAGTCTTAAAAGTTGATTGTTCATTTTGACATGCTGGAAGTGAGAATAGGGACATGCTGTCTTTTGGAGGGACTTTTCCTGCTTTTGTTTGAAGCTTTTATATGAAAGTTCTGTGGAAATGTATCCTGACTATGCCTTGGAAAAAAGACCTTGTTAATGACATTGGGTTTTTAATCCTTTTGTTATTGCTGGTTTTCTTCATTCAGTGATAAGTAGAGATTGTCCTGCAATTCCAGTACTAGTGGGCCCTGTACTTGATCCAGGTTATCCTTGCTAAGAAGGAAAAATGACTGAATTAGTCTTGGTTCCCAGAAGGGAACATGCTAGAGCCAGAGAGACATGCAACCCACCCTCAACATCCCGACAGATTTGTAGGTATTAAAATGACATCTGCAATTGCTGCTTATTTCAGGGTTAGTATTTAGTGCATCTTTGGGTGAGATTCCAGTTGATGTAGGCGCATTCCAGAAAAATCCTATTTATGCACAGATGGACTAAACAGCCGGTTCACTGTTAAGTCTATTGTTTGCTGAGATAACCATGGGCTGTATAGGAGCAGTCTCATAGTTGTGGACTGTTTTGCAGAGCCTATAAGGGACACTGACTGTTCCTGATGTGAAAGGAGAACCTTTAAATGTTCAGCCTTCTAGATGGATAGCCTGAGCACTATCTCTCAATACAGGATAAAGAAAAAAATCAAGCTGTGGTTTGTGTTGTATGTAGCAATACTTGAAGGATGGCAGAGTGCTAGATTTAAGGGGGAAGGTATTTTTTGCATGCAAAAATCTTGGAAAAACTGAGAAATAATAATGTTAGTGTTGATGGGAACTGTGTGTGTACATCTTGGGGGCATCTACCTGCCCAATGAACTTCCTAATCCTTCCTCCACCTCAAGAGACTTTAGATGCACACCTGATTTCCTAGGTGTTATATGCACCAAAACTGACTCTGTTTACTAAAATATTTATTATTATTTGGTAAAAGAAGTAACACTGACTCTTGTTTTGGGTTTGCTTTTTCAGACTTGCTTCTGGATGACCAATGTGTATTTTAGCTGATAATGTCGGCTGCTAAGTCTCCAACTTCCCATTCATTCCAGCTGATAGCAACGCATATAATGCAAAAACCACAATTCAGGATCATACAAATATTACTGTTAAAACTTTCTAGATGATTGTAGTTGCTTTGGTTGTGTTCTATGCTAGCAGAAGCCTTCTCCGAGGTTTACTGCTCGCCCTAGAGCACCACGTTCCCCACTTACTGGGAACCTTGGGGGCTGGAAATATGGGAAACTCCTGTGTTTGCCGAGATGACAGCGGAGCCGAAGACAGCGCGGAATCCCGGAGTCGGCAAGCGGAGCACAGCAGAGCACACGTACCTGAAGCAAGGAGCCACCCCAGGGACCCTGTCCGGCCCCCCAGGCGGGGGCGAGGGCCTCATGAGCCCAGAAGGAAAAAGCAGAACGTGGACGGGCTGGTGCTTGACACGCTGGCTGTAATTCGGACGTTGGTAGATAAGTAAGTACCTCCTCAAGGAGTAGCTCTACATGAGTGAAAATGCCATGTACTTTCCTGCTCTCAAACTGTGACTCCATCCTCTCACCAATCTACACCTGACCCTCCCTGAAGCAGCAGCGTGTTTACTCGTGGAGGCTCAGGAGAGAAGCACCTTTCCTAGGTAACACAAGTACCTCCAGAGCACCCCCGTGCAGACTCCTCCAGGAGCTGAGGAGCAGTTCCCATATGGGCCTACACCCACATGGCATGAGGACTGTGCTCAGTATTTATTACCTGGCGTGGATGCGCAGTATAGGAAGCAGCAAACGTACCAGAGCTTGGGAGCTTCTGTCCTACAAATGAGCTCTTCTGGTAGAGCTTTGCTTTCAGGCTGCATTTAGTTCTCTGGAAATGGCTAAGCAAAGCTGAGAGCTTTGATCTCTGTTTGTAGAATCAGACAGAAGTTTTATTTCCAGTTATAAGTCTGACAACTTTTTGAAAGCTGCATGTTTCAGCTACTCAGTTTGTGATCCAGTAGCGCATTCCTTGCATGCTCAGAGCATCCCTGGAAGGTGTGTGGGATATTTATGGATTAACCTTTCTTTTTTCTTTTTTTTTTCTTTTTTTTTCTTTTTTTTTTTTTGGCATTACTTTCTACAGAGCTTTGAAAGGAGCTCAAAAGGGATGGGAAAAGTTAGCTCATCTTTGGGATTCAATGCAGGTTAGGAATTAGGCAGACCAAAGCAGGAGAAAAAGGCACTACTGGATCTTCACAGCTGGGTTTTCAGTTTGAGGTGGGTAGGTGGGTTTGAGTTTGAGACTCAGGATAGATGAGCCTTCCTTCATATACCTGCATGATGCATCTGAAATGTGCCTGCAGGAGGAGTTTGCCTTGCTTTTGTAAAATGCTTTAAATGGATTTTGTCAGGTCAGTTGTTTTGTCTGAAAATGTAAATCCAAGATGTTATTTTGGGTTTGACTTTGTTTTCAGTCAGGGTTTCATATTTCTTAATTAAAATAATCTCAGATCTTTTTTAATCTCAGATCTGTTATCTTGTGTGCTCAGTTCATCTATTGAAGCCATTTCACAGGGTATAGCTGACCCTGTTCCTGTAGGTTTTGCAATCAGTTTTGTAATCTGGTAAGTATTTTCTTGTGCTACCAAGTGATAATAAGCAGAATTATTCCACTGATTCTGGCACCTTATTTGTCACAAATTTCTGAGGCTACTGCATTTTTCTTTTTTAAAGACACTTAATTACTTCCTTAGAATTGGAGAATCGCATGGGCAGAATCATGAAGGTACCTGTATGATAGGCCTAGTTAGGGCGGAATCCTCACATCTTTGTCCAGTTACGTGTTGGAGTATCTTCAAAGAATGGAGATTCCCTATGTCTCTAGTTTCCTGTTGCAGTGTTTGACCATCCTCAGAGTTTAAAAATAAGTTATATATATTAAAAATATATTTATTTACTTACTTATACTTTCTTATATATGTATGGAGCTGGAATTTCTGATGTCCCAGCTCACCCCGATTGCCTCTTGTGCAGTCACTGTGCACTTCTGAGAAGCATTTGGCTCTCTCTGGCTGAGTTGCAAGCAATTGAATTAAGCCAAAGGCCTATAACCACAAATAAGAGCAGATCTGCTTGTGAAAATTACCTCAGTGCATCTGAGGAAAAAAAGGATGTGATCTGCTAGACTTCAGTCCCTTTTCAGATTAATAGGGATGCTTGCTTGAAAAAACATCTGGGGATTGGAAACACTGGTGTTCAGTGAGAGATGGCTGGCATAGGGCTGTTCTGTTACCATCATTTTTACCTTTTGAAAATGCCCAAACTGAGCAAAACAATGGGGCAAGCCTTTTTTTTTGTTGTTTTGTTTTTGTTTTCCTTCCCTTTTCTGTTGAAGTAGGCCAGAATAAAGTAGAAATGCAAATGAAACCATGCAAGTAAGAGCCAGCTGGAAATACGGACCTCAGTTTGGTAGTAAATCCCTGAAGGGCAAAAGAACAGTGCAAGAACAGAGTGCAAGAAAAAAAGGGTTTCTGATGAAACTGGAAAAATTACTTCTAGGGTTTTTGTTGTTGTTTGTCTACCCCCTCAAAAAGAAAAAAGGGAGGAAGATTGTGATATTCGGCTATTAAGCCGCTAAAATGGTAAATCAGTGATAAAGGGCTCTCCTCTGCTCAGTTCTGGTACTGTGAGTGCCCGCTCCTTGGGAGGGAATCAGGAAATCCTGTGGGTCTGAGCTGTCTTCTTTCGTTTTCTTAGCCTGTGTTTGTAATTTTGGTACTTGTGTTATGAGACTTTCCACCCTTTCCGTTGAGGTAACTGCTTGCCTCGCTGTTGTGCTTTTGCCTGCTCCTCAGCTTAGCTGCCACAGGAAATGCAAAGAGATTCTCAGCAGGGCCAAAAAAATATTTCAGATATTACAACAATGAGAAAATGTGGAACCATTTAATGGGAAGTGTCTTTTTATGTATGCGAGAGAAGCATGTATTTTTATCATGAATTTTTAGTCAAAATTGAGTTTATAATTAGAGTAGGTGGATTTTTTTTAGCTGCAGGCTTGATATATTTTGAGATTTCCAGTTTGATTTCATGTGGAATTATAGAAATTGGTTGTGGAAGGAAGGTACAAACACCTGCATAGCACTAAGTAAAGCATTTAAGGCATGCTGAATTTGAAGGGCATCTGCATGTGCAAGCATCTTTTTCTGGTCCTGAAAATGCTTACTGAACAGAATTGAGACCCTGCTCAAACTTTCTGAAGCAGCTCTTGTTCATGTGCTTCAAGTCTGGGATGGGTGGCTTCCCCTTCAGTTACATCTTATATATAAAACCTCTGTGTTTTTGCAGAGGATTTCTGGCGGGGGGAGAGAGAAGAAAATGATGTTTAAGGTATTCCAATGAGCTCTTCCTTGTGTGCTGCTCTTGGTTCACTTCATTACCTCTGAAATACAGTGTCTAATGAAGAGCACTAAGCCAAAGCCTTTTGTTTGGCTTTTAGGCATGCAGATATGGACCGAGCCACTTCTCAGCTATTGCAGATATTTTGATGTTAGGATATGAGCCATTTTGTGGCTCAGAGTCATCAGCTTTTCAGGTCTAAAAAGGGTATGAGTAGACTGCAGCCTAAGTATCACTCTTCTGTTAAATGCATACTGGATTCATATTTGTCTATGCATTATCATTTTATTCAGTGTATTCTGTTGATAGTTGTACATCAATTTTGACCTGTGTAATATCTCTTTCAGTGACCAGGAGCCTCCTTATTCAATGATCACGTTGCATGAAATGGCAGAAACAGGTATCAAAGCAATGTGCTGGGCATTTCAATTGTGATTGCAAAGTGCAAAATAAAAAACAAAACCAAAAAAACTTTTTTTTTTGGCTAAGAAATACATGGCAGCGTACATTGGGTGTCCCTGTAGCTGTAGATTTGGGATATGAAATGCCATTCTGAACTGCAGAAGCTTCACGTTGCTTATTGCACTTGTGTATTTTGATTTGAACTCCCTCAATTCCCACATGAGCTCTCCAGAAGTGGCCAGCCAATGGCCACAAGCACCTTGCAATGATGTTGAACCCCAAGCCACAAAGAATATCAGTTTGGGGTAGGGCAGAACTGACCCATATGCGTAGGCATGGCTTAAACCCCTGTGATTTGAATAGTCATGGCACCTTGTACACACCTTCTAAGAACAGTAAAACCAAGACAGACCTCTCCCCGTTCATACTGGCTAGTATTTTGCTGGTCCTGTCCTTAAATTCTCCTTGAAGGTGTGCTGTTTTTTTGTACAAGGGGTGTTTTATCGCTATTACAGTAGGAGAAAATCTCCCTGCTCAAGACCATCAGATTCATGGTTGAGGGGAATTTTCATCTTTCTAAGTAGAATTTGTCCCAGAACATATATTTCTGTATAAATTAACCTGATTTGATATTACAGCTAGTCAATAAAATGTTTTTTCAGAGCAATGTGCTTAGAAAACTCAAATGTCAATGTGTTTCCCTGTTCATCTGTTACTGTCAAAGGCAGCACTGTCCCTCACTTGCCTGTATGAAGACACAGACTCAGATCTTGAAGACAGCAACTTGATGAGCACCCAAATCTGTTTACGTTATTAGTAGTTTATTATTAACATATATAAATCTTTGAATAACTGCAAGGAAAAACTTTGTGTAATCACAAAATGGTGAGAAGCATTGCTTATGAAAACAAGTTTTGAGTAGACCAGGATGCCCAGGCCTGGGCAAGACCATTCTGGAAAAAAAAAAAAAAAAAAACTGTTATCCAAGTTGTTGTATACTTAATTTTCTTTCTTCTTGAAATTAAGCTTCCAAGCTACTACAAGCTAAAACATTGATATAAAACAAACTGTATTTTTAATTCTCTAGTGTCTGTAAGCTAGCTGGGTTACTGTGATGATTGAAAGTTTAAACTTTTATTTACCAGTGTATTATGAACCCTTCAGAATTGTGGTGCTATATTGAGTGCTATTTCTGTTTTGTGGTTAACAGATGAAGGCTGGTTGGAGGTTGTTCAGTCTTTAATTAGAGTTATTCCATTAGAAGATCCCTTGGGACCAGCTGTTATAACGTTACTACTTGATGAATGTCCGCTGCCAACAAAAGTAAGTCTTTGTAATTTGTATTTCTCTGCAGATGGCTTATGGTCATTGGTGGTTGTCAGTCCCATGGTAGCTTCTTGTTGGTTTTCAGCAATGATGGAAATAAGATTTGGTGTCAGATGGTCAGAAAAGGGGTGTAACTTGTAAGCTGGAGTAATTTATAGTGCCTTGATACCCAATTGCTAGTTATCGATAGAAACACTGTAGAAAAAAAGTGGAAAAATAATCTGGATTTTTTGAGAGGAACCTGGGCCTTTGGCCTCTTCACTGCTCTTCTCTCTTGCTGTCAGGTATATGTGATACATAACAAGTGTGTACTACAGAAAGCAGGCCAAGCTTCAAAGTGTTGTAAAGGTGCAACTTTGGGAAATTCAAGAAGGAAACCACAATTATTTCCCTGTGTATAAGACATGCAACCCAAGTGCATGTATTAAATGCAACAAATGACATTTCTATATACATAGCTTGTAGTTTGGCAAATTTGAGCACTTTTTTTTCCTGATGACTGGGTCATCTCCCCACCCCAAAAAAGACTAAAGCCTTCATATGTCAGCATGTACATTTTAATGGGGGCCTCAAGTGCCTCAGTGTTCTTGAATCACTTGGACACAAGGGCTGGAGAGAAGAAAAACAGCATCACAAGTTGTCTGTCTTCAAGCTTTTCACTATCTTGTTTCATCCGATGGTAAGGATGGCAGAAATGCCATCCTTTCTGAACCTATTATGCTGCCACTCTTCGTTCTGCAGTGCCATGGATGTAAGAAAAGAAATGGGTAGTTTTTACCTCACGTAACTGGTGAGCGGCTGGAGAGATGGCAAACTCTGTAACTAAAGCATTTTATTTCTCTAGGCCATTAATTAAAGTTCGCTGATACTTTTGACCAAGTTAAATGTTGTTTGGCTGCCATGTAGACTATGCAAACATCCTAAAAACAAACCCACCACTAGAAATAGGAATAATTTTGCCCATTTTGAAGAAACCAGGAATTGGAAAGCGCTATTAATGCCTCATGCTAAGAGTGATGCTATAATTTTTGTTCAGCTATACAGTGTACTCGGTAAGCAAAAGTTTTCTCTTTTAAAGCTGCATCATACTTGTTTAGGTGCCTTAATTTTAAGGAACAAGTTTCAAAATGGTTAACAAGATCGGACTAAGATACCTGTTTTGGAAGGCTGCATGTAGGCTTGTCTTCCCTCCTGATTTCTATAGGGTACGGTGAGGGGCAAGGAGTTACAGCCTTGGGATCCGCAGGTCACTCTTGCTGCTGTTGGGTCTTTACTTATTCAGAATAAACTGAAATTTTCCTTCATTGGGTTTTAAGTCAGTGCCAAACTTGTGCCACAGCTGGCAAGCAGTAGCAGGCCGTGTTCTGTTTTCTGCTATGGTAGGCCATAGTCCATGAAGTGCAAATGGCTGTGTGGTAAACTCTGTTTATTCTCCAAAGTCTTTATTTAACTCAAAATACTTAATCTTTGACAGCCCTATTATTGGCTAAAGGCAGAATCAGGGCACGTTGTGGGCCTAATTTCCATTAGGCATTTCCATCCCACATCTCTGGCTCAGTTGGCCTTCTTTCCTTCGTCCTTTCTACTTTCAGACCTGCCCATCAGTTTTGCTTTTGTGGCTTTGCTTTGGGGAGCATAACTGTTTTCCTCCATCCTTTCAGGATAAACCCCTGCCTTCTTTTTTCCCTCCACTATGTCTCTCTCCCCCATGGGGGCAACTTGCTCTGGCTCTAGATTAACTGTGGTAAAACTATCCAAAACTTGATGGTTATATTTTGGATGTATCCTAAAATTTTAATATGGAATATGTTGGGTTTTTTTTTCTATTTTTTCCCCTCATGGAAAATCATGGATTTCCAAGTCTAAACTCCTTTTTGGAGAGGGAGTGAGTCTTCTGACACTTAAACCAGTGTCAGAAATAAGGTGCCAGTAGTGCCATTGATGCGGGTCTGCTATTCAGGTTCTTAGTATAAATAGTTCATTTGTGCATGGCCAGAAATGTAATCAGATTTTTTGGCCATAAATATGGCATGGTGGTAACTTAAGTTACAGCCACTTGGTACATTGAACATCTTTCCATATTATCTTCTTGCCTTAGAAGATAACCATCCTGTGATACCTGCAATATATATGATGCTGCTTTTTCGTAATAGGGTATAAAAAAGCATATCTTGAAGTATATTGAATTAGGAGGGGAAAAAATGTGTCCTTTAGTGATGTTAGAGATTTTTAATATTTCTTCTTTTTTTTTTTAGGATGCATTGCAAAAGTTAACAGAAATATTAAATTTAAGTGGAGCTGCTGCTTGCCAGGATGCTTGTCACCCTGCCAAACACCGGAATACAACTGCAGTATTGGGCTGTTTAGCAGAGAAATTAGCAGGTGAGTGGAGGGAGCCTCCTGAAATCTTGCATTTGACTCCCTGAAATACCTCCTACTTTAGCACCCACTGTGCAGACTGAGATCAGAAATGTCTTCTGAGGACTGAGTAATGTTTTGCATCAAGGAGAGACTTTGGTGTGAGCAGGTCTACTGCTCAATTAAAAGGTTAAAAGATTTGGTCATCAAGGACTTGCTTTGGTCTGAATTGGCTAATTTACAATTCCAAATACTTAATATCAAATTGTTTTGATGCGTGTTTGTCAAGTTGAAATGTAACCATTTGTGGAGCAGTGCTTATGCCTACAATATATGGCCTAACACTTAATGAGACCTTAATCCATCTTTCCTATGTAGCTGCATACTCCATTTTCAAGTGACTTATATTTATATATATATATAGATCTTTTTTTCCCCTA